TGTTATTCTGCTTTCACAATTGAATACATGGTAGATAATACTCAGCTTTTGTGCATACACACTACAGTTTAAAAGTTTGACGTCACCCCCCGAATTTTCATGGGATGAACTTGACAGAAGAATGGCAAAAATGAAAAAGAGCTTTTAGAGTCACTGAAATAAAAATGGAATCAACTTGAAAATCTTTTGTAAAGAATGCTAAAAAAATTGTGCTGCAGTAATCAAGGCTAAAGGAGGATATTTTGACGAGGGAAAAATTTAATCATAAAATGCTTCTTTTTTTTTTTTACTTTTTGTCATAATAAAATCTCTAAAAAAAATCATGTCTCACTTTTTTTAACCATGTATAATAATATTTTCTTATTTAATGTACAATAAAACTACATTTTAGGTCAATCAAAAAATTACCAGGGGTTTCCTCAAACTTTTGAATTATAGTGTACATGTTTGTGTCACCATAATTACTCGAAGCGGTAATATATGTGTTTCATTTCTTCAGAAATTGTGGAATATTATATGTTTGATTTGTTAACGGCATATCAACACCTCTATGGGTTATTCAATACCAAAATCTAAATACTTTGAACGCAATTGTATGCCTTCGACTACAGATAAAATGTATTGCTGGCCATTTTGATTCAAAAATTTATTTTTATAGACAGATCTACGCTAAATTAATACGCACCGAAAAAATTATTAATCACGAAGTTGTCTGCATACAAATCCTAGACAATTTTCTTAGGGACAGATAAAAGTGGTTACATTATTTTGTAAGATGTATCGAAGTCTGGCGTTCAACTTTTCTAATAAGAAAAAGCGAAAGCGGTAGGGAGGTAATTTAACACAATGCTAACTAGTTATATGCTCGTTCAGCTTCTTACAATTAATTTTGTAGTTGATAAATAAAAAGCCCCTTAAGAAATTGGTAGATAACCGTTTGAAAAAAGAAAGAAAAAAAAACAGATAGAAATACAGAACTACTTTGGTAAATTATTATAAAAACCGTTAACTAAAGAGCAACCAGATAAGATGCTAATAATACCAACTAATCAACGTTATATATATATATATATATATATATATATATATATATATATATATATATATATATATTTTTGTAGTTCACTGCTACCAGCAAGCAGAAATATTTCTCCTCCTGATGATGGCCATTTCGGTCGAAACTAGTCGAGGAATCTAAATGTAATAATAATAATAATAATGATAATAATAATAATAATAAAAAACGAAAGAATATTAATCTACAACCCAGTGTGTCTAAAGATTTTAATTTTTTATTTTCTTATTGTTCAATATATATATATATATATATATATCAACTGATATTTAGTAGGGATAATTCCATAGAGGACAATTAATCCAATCTAAGAACAGTGCAATATAATAATAATAATTTTATTTAACTTTATTTTACTTTAACTTACTTTATTTTATTGTTGTCAAATATTATTATTATTACTATCAGTTTGAAATTGTGACGATTATAATGCGATGATGATGATGTTTTCGCCGTTGGAAATGGCATTACAATTCAATGTATCTACTTTGAATCTGATTGCCCTTCTTCCCTCGCCCTGTTTTTGAACTTGTCCAGTCCTTAAAGAAAAAAATAATTTCTAGGTCACCCTATCGGCTCATGTTTAATTCTTCCTTCTTTCCTTTCTTTCCCTCCCCGTCTCCCTCTCTCCTTCCCTCTCCCGTTCCCTCTCCTGTTCCTTCTCCCCTTCCTCTATCTTCAATATCTCTCTTTTTCTCTTTCCCCTCAATTTTTAAAACCTAATATTGTAATTTTTACTTTTTTTTCACTTTTAATCTTAAAAACCTTTTTCTCTTTTCATTTTTTCCTCTCCCTTTTCCTTTCGTCTAGATAAATTGACTCCATTTGTCGGTCTCAAGAGATGAATATATTTTTGTATATTCATGAAATAAATTATAACCGAATGGAATTTAAGGATCGCCTGGACTCATATATATATATATATATATATATATATATATATATATATATATATATATATATAGATAGATAGATAACTAGACTCGTTTCGAAAAACCCTCGAATTTTTGATTTGCTAATCAAATCAATCTCGAAGGAAAAAAAGGTTTTAAAAAAAGAAAGAGCTACAAACATGAACTTCTGCCGACAAAAAAATCGCACAGATGCAGGTCTGAAGCCCAAAGAAAAAAACCCGATACGAGTAACAACTAACAAAAGAGCTCAATACAACCGTAGAGCAGACCTAGATACACCTAGTGAGCCAGACAAACCTACCTAGGTTTCCCTGACGATCCGTTTAGGTGAAACCTAGGTAGGTTTGTCTGGCTCACTAGGTATCTATCTATCTATCTATCTATCTATCTATCTATCTATCTATATATATATATATATATATATATATATATATATATATATATGTATGGGGATTGCTTAAATAATAAATCATAGTATTTTTCTTAAGCAGACGTTTATCATTTTATAAAGAAATAAATCTGAAAAAAAATTATTTATAAAACTGGATAAAATCATCAAAATGTGGAAATCAACGACTATGCAATATTTATTATTAACTATTTTATAAATAAATATGAAATCAAGTTTTTTGTTCATAATTCTATAGAAATATCCACGAACTATAGATTAAGAAAATATAAATAAACATGTTAATCCTGGGTATAACAAGAAACTATATCCGACAGCAAGGCCTGTGATCGGGAGATTGGAAGATTTGAGGAGCGTGGAACCACTTCTTAATTGCTGTTATTCTCAGATCTACCCTGACCTGGGGTGGTAGCAACTTTTAGAGTCGCAACTATGGGCAAATAGTGAACCCTCAAACAAAAACAAAACACTATAAAAGGATATAAATATAATTTTTTATAATAAAATTAGCAGTAATACTTTTTTTTAAAGCAAAATGACCAACAATACAATTTTACAAAACAATACATTTTATAGCAAAATGAGCAACAAGATATTTTATCTGTAGTTGAAGGCATACAATTTGCGTTTAAAATATATTTAGTTGAAGCCATAAAATTGTGTTCAAAATATTTAGATTTCGGTATTAAATACCTCCTAGAGTTTGATATGCAGCGAAACAAATTCAACCAAACCAGTCCAGAGTTATCTCCCTTACATAATATCTCTTAATACCGTAATCTCATGCCAGGGTGGGGGGGGGGGAGCTAGAAAACCCCATTACAGAAGCCCCCGCAACTGACTAATGCCACCTTTGGTTTTATACGGTAACTAAACAGAACGAGGGAGAGGGAATAATATGGGGTGATCCTTTTCTCTCACTTTTTTTTTTTTTGAACAAGGCCAGCGCTTTCGATCGCTCGGTCACGATGACTTGGGACCTTGTGCTAGCACAGTCATCGATCGATGTTATTTGATGACGAAAGAAATTTTTCATTTGAACTCACTGAAATAAAAATTTCCATAATGGAATTACCCACATATTCTTACAATTACGTTTTCAAAATTCAGTTGGTAGTATTTATAAACTGATTTCTTTTCATATCAATAGAGAAAAAAAAAAAAAAATATGAAGAATTAGATATGAGAAAAATGACAGTCTTAAAGCTTTGAAAATATTTTTATTTCAATTCTTAGGAAAATATATTGATGAAAATATTTTAAACTATTTGAGAATAAATATTCTATTTTTTTTTTTTAAATTCTAAAATGCTGCTTCAATATCTTATTACTGAGAGAAAAAACAAGAACAACATCTATTCCATACCTGAAGATGTCTGTAGGAACAGACGAAAGCTTGTAGTAAAAATAAGAACTAATGCGACAGAAATTTATAGAAACAAGGATCTTTTCATTCATAACGGATTCGGAGGTTTTTGTATATTATTTGAATTGTTTGCGACGATGGATTTCTCGCCAATTAAATCATTAACCTTTGCATTTGTTTTTGTGTGAATAATTCATGAATATATATATATATATATATATATATATATATATATATATATATAATTATTTAAAAATGATTCCATCGCTACATAAGAGTTCTCATGTTTCAAAACAAGAGCCGAAAATTTCAATATAATTATTTGAATTAAATTGAATTAAAGTACCAAGCTCTGTTCCATCTTCAAGCGAAATTATTATTATTATTTTTTTTTTTTTTTTGAATAACTAATTCTTGAAATTTACGCGTTTTTATAAGCATATTCATTATTAAAATTAAAATTACTATGGTAACGGCTAGAGCAATTATTTAAAAAAAGGCCCTAAGAGTTAATAATTTGTATCAATATCTGTTACATTCAAAGAGGTCAAGTCAGGGTAAGGTTGGGGTGTCTAAATTTAAAGCGGAAGATGACATCATCTAGTCTGGTTAAGTGTCTATGGAGATTTATTTATTTTTTTTATTTCATTTTCCTTCCTGAAAGGGTTTTGTATATATAAAAAACTGTCATATATATATATATATATATATATATATATATATATATATATATATATATATATATATATATATATATATATATTAAGGTATGTAAATTAAATATATAAACAAGAAGTAAAATGTAGGTTAAAAGAAATTTTTCTTCCCAACATATATTCTTTGAAATCTTATTGTCTTATATGCACAGGCGCTACTATTTTTTTTTTTAATATTAAACTGTATTTGCTCTTAATAAGGTTTCTTGGCCGTAATTTAGCGAAGAAATATCATTAAAAATCCCTACATCGCGTAGAAATTTGCGGAGACAGTCGTCCCCAAAATCTTATGGGCGACTGGCTCAGGGCTGAATTTAGTTTACGGTTTTTAATATCTGATGAACTGTAGAATAAACTCCTGTAACGTTTTGTTTTTGAATCTGTTCCCTTCCACATGATTGGTTCAAAAATATCTTTGAATTGGGATTTTGTGATTGGTTAATTAACGCCGCTGTGACGTGGAGGGTGTATTACTCATTGTTGCATAATTTATTTGGCACAGTTTCAATTCTTGTCGGAAATGAACCGTGAGAGATTCTATTGTTTTTCATCTCAGTGTGATTTTAGACAACGAACCGACAACTTTCAGTTTTCTCATAAAAGAAGCTGTTGTTTTGGCATCCACATCATTTGGCCTCATTTCATTAATAACACCCAATCTTATTTTTATTATATTTTAATTTAAACGTGCATAAGACTGAAGATAACTCACATTGCTTACAAACCTTGAGCCCTCACGCAACAATCCCTGTGATATCGGCTGTCTAATCAGGGTTGAGTGTGACGTGTGTCCCCTTCGGGCTATCTGAAGATAAAAACAAAACGTTTGGATTGTTAAATCTTAACTTCGGACCGCAAAATTAAACCCAGATAATATGGTTTCGTGTATAAGACGACGTTATTAATCTTTTTATCCTTTTTTTTCTTTCTTTTTGTTCATTTCTTTGTACTTATTCATTTTTTATATCTTTTTCTTCTCTTTCTCTGTCTCTTTCACTTCCCTTTATTCTCTTAATCTTTTCACTTTTCTTTTTCTTTCTATCACTTTTTGTCATTCCCTTTTTATATCCTCTTCTTTGTCTTTTTTCTTTTCATCGTTTTTCTCTTTTTTTTTCTATTCCTTTTCCTTTGTCTTATTTCGTTCTATCATACGTGAGCAGTTTCGTTTTGGAAGCGTTGCAATTAACAAGCCATTCCTTGCCCCATTTAACAACAGATTTTAGGTCATTTTTTTTAGCTCAGCTGCCAATTTACCTTATCATATAGATCAGACATTATACAAGAGTAAATAGGTGTGTCATCAGCATAGAATTTATTATTATTATTTAAAAACATTTTTAGCTGCATTGCTTTTATAACTAAATACCGAGTAATAACCAATGACCTATGGCAATTGAAAAATGGGATTTTTTTTTATTATTTCCACTTAATCAAACAAAAGACAGCTATTAACAAAAAAGAAAAAAAATATTTAAGTGGACAAAGTTCTTCGCAGAATATGGACTCTTCTTGTTAGAACTATTAACATACAGTCATCTTGAAGAACACAATAATTTCCTATTGAGCCAAAACCCTTGACGCAGTGGCTCATATGCTTGCAATTATCATTTGCTCATATTTGTGGATTCTAGAAAATACTCACACAAATTACGAAAATCTCAGTGTTGTATGGATAGCATTATTATTATTAGTAGCAGTAGAGCCCGGTGTTGCCCGGGGATGTAACAGTAAGTGATAGATCAAGTATCGACTATCATAAAGACTGAAAAATAAAATTGACAAAGATTATTGTTTAAGGTTGACGGACACGCATGTCTTAATTAGTCTTTTTTTTTTTTTTTTTTTTTTTTACGAATTGGTCAAACCCAAACTCAAACAAAAACATTGTTTACAATCGTTATGAGTCTACCGATTGAATAGAATTTTATTATAAACAATTGTCTTCTAAATGGAATTTTTAAAGCATTCTGAATGTATAAATAAAGAAAAAAGTGTGCAAGACAAGGAGAAACACTACCTGCCAAAAAAAAAAGAAAAAAAAAGTGAAGTTTTGTTGAAATCGGTTGAAAAATGTAGGAAATCCGATCCCATATATAAACGAACACAGCCACACACTCACAAACAACCTGGGTTTTTATAATAAGTATAACTCGATAAGAGTTGTCCTCCTTTCATTCTCGACAGTGATGCCTCTCAATCGTGTTTTCAAATTGATTTCGTGCAAAAACAATTGTGTTTTTCCAATTTTTGGCGCTGTCAGAACCACCGCAAGGTAATTTTACGTAGTCCTGTGAGGTTTTGTTGAAATCGGTTGAAAAATGTAGGAAATCTGATCCAATATATAAACCTACAGACACACGGACACACACACAATCTACGTTTTATAATAAGTAACATTATTATTATTATTATTATTATTATTATTATTATTATTATTATTTCGTTTGTTTTTCTGGTGTATACTCGTTTCTTTCTGGGAGTCCCAACCTGAAACCTAAAGTCAGAAATAGCTTCACGACGTTTTCCACTGAGTATTTTTTGAGGAAATAAAACACAAGAACACAAAAAGGTCACACGCATTTTCTATAGATAAAGTTTTTCGTAATGTGTGAACTGTACTTGTAAGTACAGTAAGCCCTGCAGTGAGCCTATCGGTACCTTTTCAAATTAATCCGAGGGCTCCGAATCGAACAAGGATTATTAATGTCCACGTGTGCCACATTTTTTGAGATTTCGATTTCAAGGTCCTTGTATTTTGATAATTTATTATTATTATTGTTATTATTATTGGTAGTTGTAGTGGTAGTAGTAGTATTCAAAAACATTTTTTTATCTGAATTGATTTTATAATTAAATATCAATGATTTAGGGCAATTGAAAGATGAGATTTTTTTGTGGTTTCCACTTAAATAAACAAGACATTAACAAAAAAAAAAAAAAAAACTTAAGTGGACAAACCTCTTCGCAGGATATGAACTTTGCTTATTAGAACTATTTTGAGAGGATTTGCTGGAGAGATGGTACACCAGGGATTTTCTTGATTTGTTGTTGAGTTCCTTTCTTTATCAGACCCAAAGCTCCAGCCACAAGATGAACAGTTTTAGTTTTTAAGTGCAATCCTTTTACTTTTTCGCCTTCGAATATGTTTTATTTCCCATTTTATATCCTCTTCCTTGTCTTCTTCGTTTTCATCTGTTTTTTGAAACTTTCTGTTTTTTGTTTCGTTTAACGGCGTATCAACTCCTTATGGGTCATTTTAAGGCGGAAATTAAAATTTAATTTTCTTGTGAGCTTTGAAGTAATAAAAATATGATATAGGTTATTCTGCTTTCACAGTTGAATACATGGTAGATGATACTCAGCTTTTGTGCATTTATATGTTTGTGTGGACATTACTAGAGGCAATGATAAGTCTGTTTTATATTATAGTTTAGTTGAAGTTATTATATTTTGGAATACTGTTTGAAGATATTTAAGGAAATCTAAATATTTGGATTTTGGTTCGTTGATATTGTTTAGCTGCATATCAACACCTCTATGGGTTATTTAATGCCGAAATCTAAGTATTTGGATTTTGGTTGGTTGATATTGTTTAGCGGCATATCAACACCTCTATGGGTTATTTAATGGCGAAATCTAAATATTTGGATTTTGGTTGATAATGTTTAGCGGCATATAAACCTCTATCGGTTATTTAATCCCGAAATCTAAATATTTGAATTTTGATTGGTTGATATTGTTTAGCAGCATATCAACACCTCTATGGTTTATTTAATGCCGAAATCTAAATATTTGGATTTTGGTTGATAATGTTTAGCGGCATATAAACCTCTATCGGTTATTTAATCCCGAAATCTAAATATTTGAATTTTGATTGGTTGATATTGTTTAGCAGCATATCAACACCTCTATGGTTTATTTAATTTATTTTAATGTTTAGCGGCATATAAACCTCTATCGGTTATTTAATCTTTCGAAATCTAAATATTTGGATTTTGATATTGTTTGCAGCATATCAACACCTCTATGGTTTATTTTGCCGAAATCTAAATATTTGGATTTTGGTTGATAATGTTTAGCGGCATATAAACCTCTATCGGTTATTTAATCCCGAAATCTAAATATTTGAATTTTGATTGGTTGATATTGTTTAGCAGCATATCAACACCTCTATGGTTTATTTAATGCCGAAATCTAAATATTTGGATTTTGGTTGATAATGTTAGCGGCATATAAACCTCTATCGGTTATTTAATCCCGAAATCTAAATATTTGAATTTTGATTGGTTGATATTGTTTAGCAGCATATCAACACCTCTATGGTTTATTTAATGCCGAAATCTAAATATTTGGATTTTGGTTGATAATGTTTAGCGGCATATAAACCTCTATCGGTTATTTAATCCCGAAATCTAAATATTTGAATTTTGATTGGTTGATATTGTTTAGCAGCATATCAACACCTCTATGGTTTATTTAATGCCGAAATCTAAATATTTGGATTTTGGTTGATAATGTTTAGCGGCATATAAACCTCTATCGGTTATTTAATCCCGAAATCTAAATATTTGAATTTTGATTGGTTGATATTGTTTAGCAGCATATCAACACCTCTATGGTTTATTTAATGCCGAAATCTAAATATTTGGATTTTGGTTGATAATGTTTAGCGGCATATAAACCTCTATCGGTTATTTAATCCCGAAATCTAAATATTTGAATTTTGATTGGTTGATATTGTTTAGCAGCATATCAACACCTCTATGGTTTATTTAATGCCGAAATCTAAATATTTGGATTTTGGTTGATAATGTTTGGCATATAAACCTCTATCGGTTATTTAATCCCGAAATCTAAATATTTGAATTTTGATTGGTTGATATTGTTTAGCAGCATATCAACACCTCTATGGTTTATTTAATGCCGAAATCTAAATATTTGGATTTTGGTTGATAATGTTTAGCGGCATATAAACCTCTATCGGTTATTTAATCCCGAAATATAAATATTTGAATTTTTTGGTTGATATTGTTTAGCAGCATATCAACACCTCTATGGTTTATTTAATGCCGAAATCTAAATATTTGGATTTTATTGATAATGTTTAGCGGCATATAAACCTCTATCGGTTATTTAATCCCGAAATTTAAATATTTGAATTTTGATTGGTTGATATTGTTTAGCAGCATATCAACACCTCTATGGTTTATTTAATGCCGAAATCTAAATATTTGGATTTTGGTTGATAATGTTTAGCGGCATATAAACCTCTATCGGTTATTTAATCCCGAAATCTAAATATTTGAATTTTGATTGGTTGATATTGTTTAGCAGCATATCAACACCTCTATGGTTTATTTAATGCCGAAATATAAATGTTTTGAAGGCAACTGTATGCCTTCAACTACAGGTAAAATGAATTGTTGGTCAATTTTCTATAAAATGTAATGTTGGTAATTTGTTTATATGAAATATATTGCTGGTATTTTTACTATAAAAATGTATTTTTAAACTTTCATAGTGTCTCGTTTGGGGGTTCACTATTTGCCCATAGCTGGGACCCCTAACAGGTGCTACCACTCTGGGTCAGAGTAGATCTGGGAATAATAGCAATTAAGATGTGATTCCACGCTCCTCAAATCCTTCAGTCTCCCGATCTTGCTGCCGGATGTCGTTTATCGTCAAAGGCGGAGTTTTCTGCTTGTAAGCCCAAGTCATTACGTCATGTACCGCTTTATGTATCCAATATAAGACAGAAACACGCCCCAAATATACCTTCCAGAAATACCTCCCACATAAGGGTAAGATATTAGTGGAAAAGGTGCCTTTATCTAGCTAATGTCTTTCCATTATGTGGGTGGTATTTCTGGGAGGTATATGTGGGAGGTATTTTTGCCGTATCCTGTATAAAGCTCGAAGTTTGTGCGTGTATTAGCTCGTTATCCTGACAATGGATTATATTGTTGTCTTATCTGTTCGACTGCTCCGACAAAATCCAACCTGGCATTATGACTCCAAAAAAACTTCCGCCGCTGTGACTTGGTTTCTCTCTGTCTTTCCATAAATAATTTCACGGCAGTTGTTCTAATGATCTCCATTCCTTGGTACTTCGTCAGCGTGAATTTAAGCTTAATACTAGAGTGGCAACTAGGTCCCATTGTTTTACTTTTGTAATAAGTAGACGTAACCGTAATTTCTATTCTAATAATTCCTTTTCACGTACTTCTCCCCGTGAAACTTTCTTTCCATTTTTGCTTCCAAGATCTTCAAAAATTTAAATGCAACATCAATCGCCATTTCTGTCTACATGAAACCGTGTTTTTATAATCTTTTCTCTTCACTAAAGTTTTCTCATTGTATTCTACTCCCAATAACCCCTTGTACACTAGTGGCTTTATCGCCTTGCACCAGGTGAAAATGTCTGTCTGATTGTGTGTGTATATATTAACTAAAGCCGTGATATCCATTAAATGCTCGTTTTTTTTTTGTTTGCCTCTGCACAAGGACAAATTTGACAAAGGTGCGCGTCAATGCGTGCCTCCTCCACGCAAAAATTGCCCAATCCCTCTTCTCATCTCTGAGTCACCACAGGTGTCACGGATTAACCCTTTTAAGAGAACGAGAAAAGGTGTAGCCTGGGGGAAGACCTGCCTCCCTCAGAAACTGAACGTAATCATAATAAACGCGTAGAAGATATACGCTTTTATCATGGGATTTATCCAAACCCACTCGAATGAAATCTGACACAAGGCTGTATTGGTAACTAGCAGTAGAGCCCGGCGTTGCCCGGGGATGTAACAGTAAGATATAGATCAAATATCGACTATCATAAAGACTGAAAAATAAAATTGACAAAGATTATTGTTTAAGGTTGACGGACACGTATGTCTTAATTTGTTTTTTTTTGTTTTTTGTTTTTTGTTTTTTACGAATTGGTCAAACCCAAACATTGTTTTCAATCGTTATGAGTCTACCGATTGAATAGAATTTTATTATAAACGATTGTCTTGTAAATGGAATTTTTAAAGCATTCTGAATGTAAAAATAAAGGAAAAAGTGTGCAAGACAATAAGAAACACTACCTGCCAAAAAAAAAAAAAAGTGAAGTTTTGTTGAAATCGGTTGAAAAATATAGGAAATCCGATCCCATATATAAACGAACACATACACACACTCACAAACAACCTGGGTTTTATAATAAGTATAACTCGATATGAGTTGTCCCCCTTTCATTCTAGCGACAGCGATGCCTCTTAATCGTGTTTTCAAATTGATTTCGTGCAAAAAACAATTGTGTTTTTCCAATTTTTGGTGCTGTCAGAAGGTAATTTTACGTAGTCCTGTTTGTTGAAATCAGTTGAAAAATGTAGGAAATCCGATCCAATATATAAACGAACACACACACACACACACACACGCACACACACACACAACCTGGGTTTTATAACAAGTATGATTAAGACACTCACCACTGTTTATTACTGCTTAGGTAGGTGACTGTCTCTTGGTCTTTTCCCTCTTAGTTTAAGTTTTCTTCTTTTGCTGTTATCAGTTTTCATTTTGGTTTTTTTTTTATTGGTTGTAGGGATTTCACCTTTTTATTATTCCTTTTTTTTGTTTCACCTCTCAGTCTTGTATCGGTTTTATTAATAATTTCTCTTGTATTATTTACCTAGATTATTCGGACTGTTATCTTCATCTTCATTGCCATATTCACAACGTTTCGGCCGTTGCACGCTTCAAGCCTTCTTCAGGTGATAGCAATTTCGAAACCGAACCATTTATTTCGTCCACCGAGGTAGACTGTTCTAGTTCCACGTGCCATGCCTCTTCCGGATGTTTCAGTTATGTCCCTTTAACTGAATTCTCCAAAAGAGAATGCTCCAAGTGGTGAACCAAGAATTTGTCATTATTTATTATTTTTAAACATTCTTTCAAAAATTATGAAACTACCAGCGTCTATCGTTCATGCGCCTGTGTAGTCACACCATCGTCAATATACCCAGTCAGATGAGACTCCGTACGAATGAAACGCATCAGAAATCCTTTTTTTTCCAATTTGTCATTAAGAATGTAACAAGATTGTAGTATTAGATCCTTAATATGTCTTTCTGTAGATATGCTAAGGATCTAACACTTCTAAATTTTAATCCACAATACACGTTTATTGATTACAGAATTAGTAGTGATAAACCCAACATAAATACATGCAATTCAGCTCTAGAATGTTTATAGTAAAACAAAAATAACATTCCCAATTACTACTAGAATTATCGCTACAATTTTACTTACTCAAACGTAAAACTATCCCCTCTCTCCATCTTTCCTCCCCTACCTCTCACTTTTAGGACGCTTGTGAGATGATGTACCTAAACTTTTGACCGGTGTTTATCGGGGAAAAACTTTCTACAGACCAGTCAACATTAAACACCCAATCCATTCTTCACCAAACTGCTATCAACAAGTACTATTGTTCCACTCTGTCACCCTTTTTTTATGTATATTTTTTCTTCTCAAACAAATAGAAAAAAAGGAAGTGACGTTTCACACACGGCTTACCTACTAGCAGGATTGATCATAACTATTTTCGATTCTCACCCGTTGAAGTGCAGTTAAAATGCACTGAAACCAAGTTGCATCTTTGTAGTGAGTAAAATGGTTTTGTCTATATGATAAAATTATATATATATATATATATATATATAATTATTTATTTAAAAATATGATTCCAACACGCTACATAAGAGGTCTCATGTTTCAAAACAAGAGCCGAAAACTTCAATATAATTATTTGAATTAAATTGAATTAAAGTAAGCTCTGTTACATCTTCAAGCGATATATATATATATATATATATATATATATATATATATATATATATATATATATATATAATAATAATAATAATAATAATAATAAAAAGGCTTAAACACTAATATTCCATGGTCATAATTTATTCCATTGGAATCGTAAATACGATCCAATTCATCAGACCTACAAAAAGAAAACAGAAAAAACAACTCCGGGAATAAAAAATAAAATTTAGTGAGAGTATATGTATGAGAGTGTGGGACGAATGTTAGAGTAAATGAAAGCTATAGAGAGGGGTAACAGACGAGAGAAGAACAGGAAGGTCTACCTGGATTCTATCCTCTTGGAATTATTTTCTATACAAATATATATGTATGTGTATGTATGTATGTATGTATGTATGTATATTTATATATTTTAGATATATGATTCCATATGTATGTGTATATTCACCACTAATATATATATATATATATATATATATATATATATATATATATATATATATATATATATGTATGTATGCATGCATTTATGTTGTATGCATGCACATGTATGTATGAATGTGTGCATATACGTGTGTAGTGTGACAATATTTTAATTTTTCATAGTATACATAATATATCACTAATCTATATTTTTGTTTTTGAAATATCTATTTTTTTACCTTTTGTTCATAAAAAAGTTGCAATATTTTTTGCTTAATGACGAATTTCAATTTTTCACCACAAGGTAGCAAAACCACGAAGATGTCAGTTGGTCTTTACTTAATACGCAAACAGTCAGACAGCCAATTTGTTATAATCATTTCACCCCATGCAAGGCGATAAAGCCACTAAGACACAAGTGTTACTAGGATTAGAAGACAATGAGAAAGCTTTAGTGAGGAGAAAGGACAACAAAAGAACAGGTTTCAGGAAGACAGAAGATAGTGATTGATGTTGCATTTAAATTTTTGAAGGTATACTTGGCATGGAAGCAAGTCTTAGAGAATATGAAAAAAAACACTATTAAGGGGTGAACAATGAAAAAACGGGAATCGAGGTGACAGGCAATCACAATTGACGATGCATTTACATTTTTGAAGGTCAAAGTTAACTGGAAATCAAGAAACCGAAAGAGAATTCCACAAGGGAGAAGTGCGAGAGAATAAACTATTAGCATAGAACTTACGGTTACACCTAGCCTTTTCCACATTAAAATGATGAGACCTTGCCGCCAATCCAGTACTGCGCTTAAATTCATAAAGTGTATGTACCATAGAGGAACGTTCATTAGAAGAATTTGTTTATCTTAGAGATAATATATATATAAAAAAAACAATTACTTTATTTTTAACAACATATTCAAAGCCGTTCAATGATTAAGCTCTCGCGCTTACCATTGTGATACGGCGACGTCTTCATTCTGGATAGAAACTGAACGAAAAAAAGGTTTAAAACTATGGATCTGCTTTAATCAGGTTTTCACAAATACTATTTAAGGGATATTCTTATTTCTCTTGTCCCGCCGAACATCGGCTATCATTACTAGTATATATAGTGATGTATATATGACACCTGGGTTCGAATCTCATCATGGTCGATTTCTTGATTTTATTGGTCTGAGGGTGATCTCAACCTGGAATTTGGAAAGTGCCTGAAAGCCACAACACATGTTGACCCAAGAAGTGTAAATAAAATTAGCTTGACGGAACTGTTTGACGGAACTGTTTGACCGAGGCTGTGAGCGTTGTTCAAACTGTTGATCCCGACAGATTATGCGGTCACTACCAGAAACTGTAACTAATATCCGCTTTCTATGGTGTGGGAAATTTAGCGCCTCCCCAAATTGAATCGTGACTGATGAACGAATATGAGACAACTGAACAATTTAAAAAAAAAAAAAAAAAACTTTATATAGGAAGTACATTATACAAGAAGAATGGGCATATAAAATTGTCAAAAAAGTTTTCTTTTCATCAAGCTTGAAGATGGAACAGAGCTTGAAAATGAAACGGAACTTGATACTTTAATTCAATTTAATTTTTATAATTAAAATGAAGTTTTTAGCTCCTGTTTTTGAAACATGAGAACTCTTATGTAGCGATGGAATCATATTTTTAAAAAAATAATTATAATATAGGGTCTACTTTTGTATCGAGCACTGTTTTTTTTTTAAATAAAAACAAAAATAATAAAGTACTTCGGATTATTGACCTAACGTGTCCTTCCCTATTTTCTATATATTTTCACACACACACACACACACACACACACACACACACACACACACACACACACACACACACATATATATATATATATATATATATATATATATATATATATATATATATATATATATATATATATATATATATATATACTGACACAACATCAAGCGTGTAAATTCGTAAATAAATTCCTTAGGTTGTTTTGTTGAAAATAACGCGCGTGTTTCCTCCTCATTACAATCCTTCATTAATCTTCTTGGTGTGGGTATATCAACTGTTCATTTTAATCCCAAATCCCCACGCCACTATAGGTCTACAGCTGGTGGAACTAACTAGTTTGCTTTTCTTGCTCTTCCCACCTGTGGGATTCCCTTCCGATTTCTTACTTCTCCGATAACTAAAATCTTCAAAAATTGGAATGCAATGTCAATCGTCATCTTCTGTCTATTTGAACCCTGTTCCTTTTTTGTCCTTCCCTGAACCCTCCCCCATTCACAGTCTTTTCATTCTCTTTCATTTTCACTCCCTGTAATCCCCTGCGTTCTAGTGACATTGTCACCTTTTTTTTTTGCGGGGGGGTAAAATGATTAAAATTATCTGTACGTTTTCTCGTCATTATCATCCTTCATTAATCTTCTTGACGTGGGTAAATCAACTGTTCAT